ATAAATCCAGTAATCTCATATTCCCGTCAAAAGCGAAAATTTAACCCCAGTATGTCATCTTTTCTGTAACTTATGTAAATCATCACATCATACAGGAAAAAAGCACAATTTAACACACATTTTTAAAACCCAGTTCATGTGAAGGTATGAATCTTTCCGAAACTAGTTTCCTCTCCACCAGGCAAAGTGTATTAAATTGTTCTACCCATGGTCCGCTGGCTTCGAAAACATGAAATATAGTGGTATTTCCCTTATTGCACAAATCAAGAACAGTTACCGTGCCCGATGGCACATCGTACCAGCTCCGCTGAAAAAATGTTTGGGAAAGTTTATCAGAGATTTGATTACTGACGGTGCAAGCATCCATTTTTTAACACTGACTAATTAATCTCATTACCTGCCTATCGCAAACGAAAATGGAAAAATAAAATTTTGTATCCACTCGTTTCCATAGTAAACTTTTTCGACCAAATATATCACGTCCAAGCAGTACTTTCTTGAAGTCTTCCTAAAACACGGGATGAAATCAAATTATTTATAAATAATTTGCAGGCTCATAAAGTTGCAGTTTTAACGGCTGCTATCCTGCTTACTGTCTACGGTCATCGTAGCTACCAAAAATCAAAACAGTGTACATTATTAATGTAATGAAAAGAGGAAGACACACAGCACCTCAGATGACATCGACTCCCAAAAAATAGCATTCGACCATTCTGATGCTTTTGAATATAAAAATGATAGGATCAAATTAATTAAAATAACAGACTTAGTAAGTTGATAGGGAAAAAACAATCCCTGAGTTATTAAGCTCCAGACATTAGATATGAAATCACTGCAATTTGTGGAGAAAAGGTAAAAGAAAAATTGTGGAATCATAGGGAAGCAGTAAAGGAAAAATCAAAACGAAAGTAAGGGTCAGAAGCACAGCTCAAAACCGAGAAATATTTGGCTTTAACAACTAACACAGTAAGTTCTGGTATGCAACTGGCGTACTGGAAAGTTTCATTACTTCTTATTGGTAAAAAAGGAAGGGGAACGGAATAGTAGGTAAGACTAAACAAATGGACAAGCTCCCCTTTTTTTAAAAAAAATTTCGCATATATTATACGAATTTATCTTGAAATATATACACAACATAAATCTTTACCCTATAATAAATAACTGCCCAAGATCCAATCATATCGTCCAACACATTAATAATTTCGCCAATTAGCTGGCATGCATTTAATTTATCCACCAGTGCTTTGGACCCATCACAGGAAACAGAGTTAGGTGGAAGACACGCCTGAAACTTGAAACAGATAAAAAATGCCACTTAGCAGTAAGGCATTCATCAAAATTCACAACAACATCCAATCTAAAGTAATGATAAAATCTTGGAGAATTGATTTTGCTAGTCTAGTACAGAATAGCTCTTGCCTTCAATGACCTTTTTTTTTTTAAAGAACTGCAATCTAATATTCATCCGGAATTTTGGAAAAATCAACTTCCCATCTTTCGCTTTTCGTTTGGCTTCTGTGACAGATAAGTCTTCATTTAGTTACATGGCTATACGAATTCTTCCCTTTCCAGAAAAAAAAAAAAAAAGGACGAAAAAGCAATCACATACCTCTGCACGGAAATACGGTTTTCCAATTAACAGCAAATGGCCCTTTTCGCATTTAATTGCATCCCCTTGCTGTAACGAAAAATTAATCAGTATTCGAAGGATCAAGAAAAAAAGCACGTCAGAAATATGACAACGAACTTACAGGAAACATAACTTTACTGCTTTCTAAATCGATAACCGCGATGCCGGATGATAATTTAACCATCTCTCAACTGTTCTGCTAGTTCTTTTGAAAATTACTTTCTGAAAAAAAGGATGCAGTATTTTTCCTTTGTCTTTTCAACTATCTACAGCACCATCAGACAAGACAACACATACATCACCATCTAACTTTTCCAAAACCATTGTGAAAAGCTCGCATAATTTTTTATGGATTAAAAAATTTTCCCGTAAGCACTTACGATCAATGATAATGAAGCTTCTGATTAATACCTTCTATCCTATCAGTCTTGCATCACCCACTGGTAGAACAGAACCTCATAGTAATTGGCGATCAGTTTTGGTATACAACAATTCATTAGGATCCCAAGTATTTAACTATAATTTTCCAAGAAAACACCAAATCCCCTCCCCCACCCATTCAACCGAAATTGATGGCCAGTCAGTGACTCAATATAACTTGGTCTGTGTGAAAATCAGTAGATGTGAAAATCAGTTGACTTCCGTTGGAGTGGGGTCGTTTGAGATCGAATTCACCGCACATAAATGCTTATTGCAATAAAAGGGTGTCTAATAAAACTGACCATTCTGTAAAGTGCACAATTCTTCCATGCTCTCTGAGATTTTCTATCTGTTTTCTGGTTTCAGTAGTTTGGAAATCAGACGTATTTCTAGTGGAATTGGGACAGTGTCTCAAAGTACATTACAATGCGATATATATAACTGACAAAAATTTCTAAATCTTAGCAGTTAAATCTGAAAGCCACATTACAACCCATAAAAATTTTTTCGATAATTTCTATGTTATACCGATCTACTGCTGCAGATAACTATTAGGCTTATCAGGCCTTTCTTTGATATCAGTTCTTAATTGAATTGCCTGGGGAGCGCGTTTGATGAGCCTGGTTAGTTTCACAAAAAAGAACCGACTATATATTGCCTGATCTACAGCGGTACCATTCAGCTAATCATTTAATCGCTTGCTGATAGACTATCGGTATTTCAAATCACCTGACTTTAGCTTATCAGCATTCGAAGCTTTTTTCTCAACTTGCTTGAACCTTTGAACAGCATATGCATTGCAGTAGTGATTGTTTCATTTGATAAAGAATATCCTGGTATCCATGGCAGCACCACTACACTACACTTGGTGCCTGAGCACGTTAGATTCATTTGCTTCGTTTTCAAGTAGCAAATCAATGAGGATTTATATCTGCGCTATGAAAATTTCTTTTTTTATCGAAGATATCGGAATGAAAACGCTGTAACGTACAATCATTAGTTATTATCATGAAAATGTTACATCTCTAAATTATCTTGTACTTCATAAGGTGACAACCAAATCTCCCCTCAAGATAGAGGGTCTGTCTTGAAATACGCAATTCTGCTTTTAACTCTTTTGTTGTCTAAATTATCTCTCAGTATATTTACAAAATGCAGCGGATAATTTTAAATCTACCAATACTACCGGCCGTACTGATCGTCATATCTCAACGGTTCTAGGTCCGCGCAAAATTCATTAATGGTTATAACATAACAAGGAAATTTGCAACATAAACGTAGCAGGGAAGAAAAGAAATAATTTTTAAATTTTGCTAGCAATACATATGTTTAAAGAAAAAAAAACGATTGGATAAAAAGTTTATTATTTCGACTAACTAGGTAAGCACATTCTTGAAAAGAATTATAACTTTAGCTTAGATTCGACATCAGATTTGTCCACTTAAACTTCAAATTATTTTTACCACATACCGCATATGTTCTTGCTCTAATTGGTTTCATGACATCACATGTCTGATGATGGAGAGAAGAAAACGGTACTAATGATGGAAATGGTGCTATCAATTCTATGAATACCGACGTTAAAGATTAACTCATTTCGCCAGGAAATGATTTAGATGTACTTCAGGATAGCACCGAACTTGACAGTGATATGGCAGTCAAGGTGGCGAGAGAAAAAGCTACCGCAAAAACTAGAGAAAGAGAGCTTCAAGGTTTTGATCGCGAGAATTTCATTCTTCATCAGCGCTTCATTCGCAGAGATTTTATTGCATGCAAGGCTCTAATAAAGGTTATCATGTTTTAGTGATTATTGTAGAGAGTCATTTAGGTTGAACCACTTAGTTGAATTTGGGTTAAAAAATTAATTAATTCTCATCATTTCCTGAAATGAATTGTACTTGTATTATCCTAAAATTGTAACTGAGAATTATTAAAGGAGATGGCAGACAAATACAGCGAAATGTGCGAGTATCCGTTTTGCATTAGGGGTAAAATAGCTCGAATGGAAGGAAATTTTCGTGAAGCTTTGATATGGTTCGTTGCTCTTCGATTTCGATTGCTTATATGGTCTTTGAAAGATTCCCTAAAATTTGTTTTTTATTACTCTTTAAAACTTCCAACTTTGATTCGAATTTAAAGGTTCGAGAAGGCGCAGTTAGTGAATCCCTTAAATGGCGTTTATGTGCGTGAAATTGGTTGTTTATATTTCTTACTTGGGAACCATATTAAAGCATCAGAAGTTTTTCTGGATGCAATTAAGCTGAATGATAAGGACTGGGTAAGTTCAGGTGTACCATTTTAAGAACTAGAAAAGTGTTTTTTTCTTTTTCAAGTGTGCATTTCTAAAAAATTACTTTGGTTCACACTGAACGGTGAAAATGACGTTTAATTCTAGAAATCATACTACTGGCGTGCAATGGCATTATATCATACCAAACAGGATTCTGAGTCTGCACTCAAAGTATGTGAAAATTCCTTCAGACTTGTTGTTGCTTAAAACTTGATAAAATTGTTTTTGCATCCCACTAATTTTATTCCATTTTGGTTTTACCACCGTTCATTTTGGATAAATCTTCCTTAGCAACTTTCCAGGCTCAAGAATGTTTACTTACGGCTCCAACAGCTGCACAACATGTTGAAATTTTGACGTTTCTAGCAAGATTATGTGAGCAACGTAATGATATCAAACTAGCAATTGAAGCGCAAAAGAAAGCATTGGAAGTAGGTCGGAACTAATAAGTACTATACAACTAATGCAAACTGGATCGGAATATTAGTATGAATTTGTACCAGAGAACTTTTCCATAAAATGGATTTCCAAAAATTGAAATGTATAGACTTCAAAAGGAAAACAGAAACATATCCTTTTGCCAGTTTCTGTAAAATGAAATGCACAAAAACGGTTAAAATAGCAGCAAAAATTCCTCTTTATGCGTGAATCATTTAGGGTATTAAACATGCATGCGGATTTCTAACATTAGTTTTAATTTAATTTTAATGATTGATAATTGTAGTTGGAACCAGAAAATCTTGATATTCTTACAAATATGGGATTGCTTTATGCGAGGTGGCAGAATGATGGCCAAGCATTTGATGCCTTTGGCAGAGCCCTCAGCTATGATCCAACACATTCACAAAGTATACTGGCCGCTGGTTCTATCATACAAACAAATGGTGAGCATGATGTCGCTCTAACGAAGTACAGGTTGGCTACAGCTTCTGCAACTATTCAACAATTAAAAAGCATGAAGAATTTTAAGAAGAGACTAATTTGAATAAAACAAATAAATAAGTAAACAGTCATATTCTCTACTCATTGATTTTCTCTACAGGATAGCTGCAGAGAAGTGCGAATACAACGGACCATTGTGGAATAATATCGGCATGTGTTTTTTTGGAAAAGGCAAGTGCGTTGCAGCAATAAGCTGTTTGAAGAAGGTGACATTTTTAAGTGTTTGAAATGTTTGAGAGAATTGTTCGTGGAAATTTATTAATTGCATTTAACTGTATTCATCTGTTTTTTTTCTCTGAAGGCTAATTATTTGTGTCCGCTCGAATGGAAAATTTGCTACAATCTTGGCATAGTGCATAATGCTGTGCAGCAGTACGCGTCTGCTTATCATTTTTTATCATCGGCCGTCAATTTAAATACACGTTCGACAATGCCTTACATGGCACTTGCAGGTTCCACATCTTAATTTCAACCAAAGGGTCGATGATAAGAAAAAGGGTATTTAAAGGATATTCTTAAATCGTTTTTCCTTTTTTGTAAAACTTTTAAAAAATCAAATGATTAATTAGTATTATATCCGGAAAAAATCGTTTAAAATATCTATATAGTTTAGAAAGTATATCGAATTAGAATTATATTGTTTTGGGTCTTTATATACAATATAGAAAGGATCATTTTCAGTGGTACTGACAAATCTTGATGATACTCTGAATGCGAGCAAAGCTTATGACAGAGCGCTTCAACTTGACAAGAATAATTGCGCTCAGATACATTTAAATTACGCCATATTTAGAGCGAAACAAAAAGAATTAAAGGAATCGGTCGAGTCATTGCAAGCATTCTATAAAGCAATCACTAACAGGCAGACGCTCTCACAAGTAAGTTGGGAATTCATTAAAGGGTTACAAGTTATAGACAAGAGTTAGTGCAAGAAAATGCTGCAGAGAAGAATGTAATGAGGCTATTTATCAATTCATTCTTAAGGGTTCTCATTTCCAGGAGGTGCTGTATGCGGCAGATAACCTGAAACGATATTTGGGTCAAACAGATAAATACGACAAAGGTACATGCAAACGCAGTGTCTCATGAACACTCGATCAAAATGTTGTTATAATGACCTTTCATATCTTTTTATTTGATAAATAGTTAATTCTGGAAAATAAACCTCAGAATACGTTTTATTGCGACAGCACGGACGGTGTAACAAAGAGTAGTTGAACAGGTTACTGAGGTATTGCAAGCGTTGACATACGCTTTGCAATTCAACACTGTTCATCGATATTACACGTCGCTCCTTCAAATGAAAGGTGATATAATGTCACGGAAACAAGACCATACATTTCTCTAGAAATCTAGTGATAAGGAGTTAGAAATTGGGGAACAAATACTTCACCGCAGGAGAAAAGAAATGGAGTTCCTTCATGCACGTCTCACTGGAGGGAAAATTTATAATATTACCTAGAAATTTCATAAATTTCCGTGTCATGCATATGATCTATGTCTGATGACTGATTTCTGTAAGGCAGCAGTTGAGGATGTAATTCATGTCTACATACTTGAGCAAACCAATGTCCACTGCCACTGGGAAAAGTGGTGCATCGGCCGTCTATTATTTCCCTAGTGCGATGCAAAACACGTAGAAATTTCATTGCGGCCTAATTAGAATGAAAAACTTAGTAGAGTCATAGTCGTCCAGCGAGATTTACGCATAGAAGACGGGTAGGCCGTGTTGTTCATGATTGCGTTGTGGCAATTTAAATAGTTCTTTCGCTTATTGGCTAGTTATTTTTCCATTTCGGTTGCCGGTGTCACCTCCACTGATGCTGTGAGTTGAGGCGAAACTTAGCTGACCTTAAAATACGCACTGTTGCGCAGTAAAATATAGACTTTAAACGTTTGGTGTTACACCATTATCGAGACTGTTATTGGAATTTTTTCGTAGTTCGTGTTATTCTAAAAGTATGCTTGCTACTCCCTTAGCCTTGTCGATACATTCTTAGGTTTTCAAATTAAGGATAAATGTCTCGAGAAAGCCGCATTTACGTTGGAAACCTACCAACAACTGTTAGAGCAAAGGATGTGGAAGATATCTTCAGCAAATATGGCAAAGTCCTTTACGTCGACTTGAAAGATCGGCGGCAGCCGTATTTTGCCTTTGTGGAGTTCGAAGATGCGAGGTCTGCATCATTTTCAACATTCTTTTGGTTCTTGCCTAGGTTTCAATTAACCTCAGTTAAACTGCTCTTTACTTACAGTGGTGTATTGAAACTGCGGCACATTTGCTGCACAGCACTGTCGTATCCTTCTGAAGCTGTACAATTTTATTCTTATAATGTGCTTCCAGGGATGCAGAAGATGCTGTTCGCGGTCGTGATGGCTACGATTATGAAGGGTATCGGTTGAGGGTAGAATTTCCTCGCGGTTTAGGACCTAGAGGACCCGGAGGACGACCGTATGACACTGGGAGAAACTTATCCCTCTCGCGAAACGCGAGTGGAGGGGGCAGTTCCAGTGGAGGCCGTCGAGCAAACTATCGTGTTATAGTTTCGGGTTTGCCAGCTTCGGGTTTGTTTCATCTGAAAAGTGTCATATTTTCTTCGACAAAGAGCCTTGAGTGAAAGGGTCAGTGAAATTTCAAGTGCAGCTACTCTCTTAGCAGTACTCAACACTCGATGTTCTTAGTTTTCTCAAATCTGTGCGTAAAAAAATTCATCTAAATTAGTAATTGAGTACTTAAGTGGAATTTCTCTATCCCGTTTTATTTCGCTAAACAGTTGGATAGGCTCTTCAAATTCAGTTATGGTACTGGAATATAAGCATATTATTTACACTGTCTAGGGGTTATGCTTTTAGGCTCATGGCAGGATTTAAAAGATCATATGCGTGAAGCAGGCGATGTTTGCTATACGGACGTATTACGTGATGGCACTGGTATCGTGGAATATGGTCGTTATGAAGATATGAAATATGCTTTGCGCAAACTTGATGACACAAAGTTCAAATCACATGAGGTATGTGTGTTCGTTTTCAGCATAAATTCACTTTTTTCCACTATATGGTTGTATTTTGATAATCCTATCACGCAAAGTGGTAAGAGAATTTTCAGGGTGAAACCTCTTACATTCGAGTGAGAGAAGATAATGGAGAATCGCGTGCTCATTCTCGTTCCCGATCACCGGTTGGTCGTGCTTCTCGAGGTTCACCGCAATATAGTCCATCTTACAGTAATAGCGGAAGTCATTCCCACTCACCTTGACTTGTGCACGTTCCTTTACTCATCACTTGTTGCGCTAACGTACCTGATCCAGTAATCTGCTGTTAATTATCCGACCTCATTCATTGTATGGACGGACATTTAAAATCAGCAAAGTATGTATGTTATTGATTGTAAAACGTATTGCTGGAGTTTTCCCACTTTTCTAGCCTCTTCATTTTCATTAAGGTCTTTTAGCGCTGAGGAAACACTTCAGCAAGCCCTCACTAAACTTGTTTCATTATTTAACATCATTACGTTAAATTATATTTT